CCTATTAATTTCATTTGATGACCCCTAGTTCTTGTATTTTGGGAATAAGTAAATAACTTTTCCTTATCCACTTTCTCCACATCATTCATGATTTTATGTACCTCTATCATATCCCCCCTTAGTCTCCTCTTTTCCAAGCTGAAGAGTCCTAGCCTCTTTAATCTCTCCTCATGACCTGCACAAACAAAGAGGGCTAGTCAGGAGAAGCTGAGATCCCTAGAAAGGCTGCACCAAGAGGAGGTGACAGCATCTTTCTAGAGTTATCTACCATCTTTTCTTACTGCCCACATTGTTGTGGCTGTTGACATGGACCGTATACTGCAGTGATTTAAGTGCCATGCAACCCCGCTGATTTTACTAAGGCTGCTTATGGTGAAAAACAGTTTGGAATTTGGCCTAGTCTCCATAGCCAAGCACACATTGCAGCAACTGTCTTGCAGCCTTTCCTTAGACATTGCTGGACCATCAATCCACTTGTATGTTGATTAAACAGAGATGTGTCACATTCTGAAGAGGTGACAGCAGAAAGGTGACTTAGGTTGTTTTATTGAGAATGCACTCACCACAACCTGAATGCAGGGTGGAGGGCTTTGGCTAGAAGAAAAGAGATTGTGGCTCTTTTCAGATTCCCCACTGCTTTTGAATTATGAGGAGTGGGAAAAGGGAGTATTTACCCAAGCCAAGCGTGGACTGGAAGAGGCTGGCTCAGGTGAGTCAGTGACCCATCACACACGGAGGAAGGGAAGATATTTATACGTTGTTCCCTACAGACAGAATCCTCTTTCATCACAGACCAGCAGCAGGTACTCATTCCAGGGTGGGTCCAGGTCCCTGATAAACTGTAGTTGGAAGTGGATTTAGGGGAAAGCATCCTGAAAGGAAGCTGGGAAAAGAGGATTGAGGTTCCTAGTGTCTGGTACGGAAGGGAATTAGCCCCCCTTTTCCCACCCTCCTTAGACCTCATACAAGGAGAGAGTGGTGGGCAGGGATCAGGTTGGGAAGGGGGAGGTCTGATAGCAACCATCCCAAATACATGGGAATGATTAAGGAAAGGATCATGATCTGTATGACTTATTGCTGGGTATTTCCCAGGTGAGTTAATAAAGTCACAGCTTGATTATAGCACATCCTCTTGCATCTTGTCTTTCTTGCTGCATGTTCAGGACAATGTACCATTGAGTGGGGAGAGATGAATGTTTCAGAGAGTGATTATAAAATAAACTTTCTCCTCTTTCCCCCACCACCTCTCCCCACACTTTGGACAAGAATTAAAACATGTGACACTCTGATGTCTGGTTCCTTGCATCCTACTAAAGCTGCAGTGTGGAATTCAAAGCCACAGGAAAATGAAGAGGGGAAAAGATGATTGGAAGGAGTGAAAAAGGAGGTATTGGGGCAAAGAAAGGCAGGGAGGAAAGGAGATGTATAGTGCTAATGAAAATTTACAATGGGATCATGTGAAGGCAATAAAGAAAAATTATGTTCCTCGTTGTGGATGGTTTCTGTGTCCTGCTTTGCAGGAGGCTAAAAGTCTTAATCTGATAACAAGAATATCTAAACATTCTTTGAGTATTAAGCAACAGAGGGTCCTGTGGCACCTTTAAGACTAACAGAAGTATTGGAGCTTAAGCTTTCGTGGGTGAATGCCCACTTCATCAGACCATGCTTTCGTGGGCATTCACCCACGAAAGCTTATGCTCCAATACTTCTGTTAGTCTTAAAGGTGCCACAGGACCCTCTGTTGCTTTTTACAGATTCAGACTAACACGGCTACCCCTCTGTTCTTTGAGTATTGTAATTATAAATATGTTTGAATGAAAGCTACAGATTAACTATAAAGAATTACGTGCCTCTCAAAACATCCCGCCAAAATGTTTAATTATCAAAACAGTATAGGAATATCTTAATACCTTTCCATACTTGTGATTTTTGATAATAGTTCTTTGTGGTAGTTGCATGTTTAACTGACACATAATAGTAATGAATTTGCAAATGATGGTGTACATTCCAATAGAGATGAAGGTATGCGTGTGTGTCTGTATACATCCTTTGTTCATGCCAGTGTTACCATTAAACTATGGAATGTGACTAACTTACATTAACTCATTCCTTTTTGAAAATTAAATGTTTGAGCTCCTTTCCCACAACAAATAAATAAAATTAGAAATATAAACCCTCATGCTTTAGGGCATAACTGGTGGGGTTTAGGAAAAAGAGTGTGTTACAATTCATAATTGTCCCTAATGGAGTTTTTTCCACCTTTACGGTCTATTGTCAGGATACAGATGGACCACTACCTGATTAGATATGACAACTCCTATTATTAAAACAGAATGCTGAATTCATAAAAGTTGACATTTTAAGAGTCCTGGGAAAAAGGAAGTTTTATGTTTATCTGCCAGAGCTCCAGTAAAAACACTAAATGCTGCAAAAAAACAAGCAGATGTTAGCCTGAGTAACCTTTAATGATAAATTGTTTATAAATAGTGTTTCCAAAGTAAAATGCATCTTTAGGGCAATATTTTGTCTTTTGTACCATTGGCCACATTGTGGTAAAGGAAGACCAAGCTATAACAAGGGCCCCAGGAATAATTCTAGCTAGCAAGTGCTGCAGCAGCAATTCCATCTCCTTTTGCATGACTGCAGCAAGTACACTCCTTGGTGCTCAGTCAACTCTGCCAGACATTGCAATGAGTCAGTTTTACCACTACATGGACCTTTTGGAGACTAACACTTCCTGTTGTTCTGACCAGAAACAGTCTCTCCAGACTCAAATGTATTGTGCCCATACCCTGTGCAAGAGTGTGGGGGGAAAGGAGAGAGGGGGGAGCTTCCTTACATCATCTCTTCCCTCCCTACACACCCACACAGATGGGAAAAGTATAGCTCACTGGACTCAGCATCATCATCCATACCCCAGTTTAGCATCTTTGGGTTAGTTTACTAAATTACTTTTCAACAACCTCCACCCATCATGTCCACAGCATTGTGCAGTCAGATGATTCTTTGGGATACAGTTATGTAAGAAGTGTGTGTAGTGGAATCTTCAACTGTCCCAGAAATGGTGGGACTTCAGCCAGAGTTCTTACAGAACCCAAAGGCCAGCTTTGGCTGGTTTCATGGGGTACTGTGAATCATGACCTTCAGGAAAATTAATGAAAACTTTCTAACCTAAAAGTTTAATTATCCTTGTTCTTGAAAATTTGAAGAATTACAATAACATGACCATTTGGCTATTCAAGCAATGTAGCTGCGTGGATTATTCTTTCAGGTTTTTTTTTTTATGGTAATCAAAAACTCCCCCCCCCCCAGGTAACATGAAAGAAGTAGGCTTAAAGAGAGCACTACATGCACAATAGAAGAGACACAGCTGTGAATGCAAGGAGGAAACCAAGAAGGCATGGAGGCTGGTGTCACTGGAATAGTGGAGGACCAAGGAAAAACGATGACAAGAGTTGTTAGAGATGGAAACTGAGCTAGTGCCTTGAAAGCAAGGGCAAAAAGATTAAACTTAATACACAGGACAATAGGGAGCCCAAGGAGGGATTCAAAAAGGGGGAGATGGTGGTTATGGCCCCAGATGACTGACAAGGAAAATTATTTTAGCAACAGCATATTGGATTGGGTTTGACACACACCTCTTATGTCCTGCTTCACAGTGGTGGACCACCTGGTTCTCGATGTGACAGTGGATTGTAGTAAGTGTATAATGACCATCACAAATTAGTTCTGTCTTTTTGGTCACAGAGACTGATTTTATTTACATATGGAGATCCAGAACATATCTGTTGTTCCATCAAGTGTATGCAGTGGCATGCAACAGCAATGTTGAAGTGTCCCTTTGTTCAATTCAGTGTGCACTTTTCTTTGCTTTGTCTTTGTTATTGAGCTTGTATGTTACCTGAAAATGAACAAAGTAAAAGAAAACAGAATGTGTATCTCTAGGCAGCAAAGTCCAAAGTTCAAGTGGTATGTTTCAGATCATGTGCCAGTTGTGGTATTACTGTACCTTCTTTAATGGGGCATTTATTGATTTACAAATGCAATAAAGAATGGGCTGAGTCTTGATATTCCAAAGTTCAGTGATAGTATGGACTCTGAATGGTATCTCTATTACACAGTGACTTAGAAAGTCAGCAATTATCACACCACAGTATTTAAATATTTCAGCTAAGTTTTATTTCAGATATTATAATTAACTGATGTTTGTAACCCGAGCAATAATCTCAGAAAAAATCTTATTTGTTGTGGGGCTGTCAGAGATGTCAGAACTACTAAAGACTAATTCACTAGACCAGCAACTGAAATTAAAACCAGGACAGGGATCTGCCAAAAGGCATGTTACCACACACCATTGCCTCAGCCATGAGAATCAGAGGTAAACAATTCTACCAGTGATTTGAACGATGTCACTGGGAATAGAGAACTGAGAACTCCAGGGGACACCAGGAATATTAGTGTCATTTAGCTGTGACTGGCAGTGTGGCCACGTGGTCTAACATGCTAGACTCAGTTTAAAGAGGCAAGATGGTCCAGTGCTTAGGGCCTTAGTCTAGAATTTGGGAAGACCTAAGTTCTATTCCTTGCTCTGCCAGACTTCCTGTGTGATGTTGGTCAAGTCACTTAGGCTCTGTGCCTCAGTTCCCCAGCAATGAAATAATTGTACTTTCCTACCTCACAAGGTTGTTGAAGAGATAAATACATTAAAATTGTAAGGTGCTTAGATATTATAGATGGGGGTCATATAAGTACAGTATCTAAAATAGATATGAATCCAAATTCTTATTAAGAAACCACCAGACTATTTTGGTATTTGTGGTACTGCACAGAAGCTGCATTTGCTTCCTTCAGGCATGTAAATTTAGAAGTACCTCTCCAAACTGCTCCTTAGTAAGTATACATTTTACTATGTGTGAATGTGTGTAATATGGTCCATTCTTCAGAGTTTACAATCTAAGTATAAAATGAGAGACAAGAAGTGGTTACAACACTGAGACAGGGGAACACAAGGTAACAATGTAACAGTTCTGAACGATTAGAAATCATCACAGCACATCAGATTCCATTTGTTATCAGAGGAGAGTTTAAGGGAGGATATGAAGGAACATAATGAAGGGGTGCTGAGGCTGTTTACAGTAAGCTCCTTTCGTGCATAAGAGGCAGCATGGAAGAACATGCAAAGACTCTTGAAAAAATTGATAAATGAGCAATCAAAATTATTGGTAGAGCAGAGAAAGAAGTCAACATGTTGATAGTGTATAAGAGATGAAAGGCTGAAGATAAACAATGCCTTAAAATAAAGACAGTCGTTTCTGTTCTACATGATGAAAAAAGCAGAGCCAGTGGAAGGATGCAAAGAGAGAGATTGACATGGTCAAAATAATGAGTCAGGAAAATGATCTTTGCAGCAGCATTCTGAATGCAAAGTGGGGCAGTATGGCATTTGTCAAGGTCAGAGAGGAGGAACTGCAGGAACTGAGACATAAGGTGAAGGTCTGGGTGAGTTTTAGCTATGTTGATGAAGAAGAAAGGCCGGCTCTTGGAGCACAGCAAGAAATGACAAGCTATAACCTGGAACTGTGGGGCTAAAGAGAGATGCCTACATTATATGCCTGAGGCAGGGGGAAGATAGTGGTAATGTCTTGGAGGCAGGAAGGGAAATTAGGGGAAAGTTAGGAACTCTGTTTTGGCATGTCGAGGTTAATCTGACAGCTGGACACCTACAAGTCAGAAAGAAAGGCAAAGCTTTTAGCTTGACAGGAGACGGACATAAAGTGGAGAGTTAGATCTGTGAGCAGTCATCTTAAAGAAGATATTTCAACTCATGTTTGTGAATGAGGTCAACTATAAAGACAGAGCGTAGAGGAAGAAGAGGAGGGAGCCAAGTATGTAGCCTTGTAACCTTCTTGATCGTTCATTATTTTTGAAAGTTCCTCCTCTTCAGAGCCAAACAATGTTTTCTTTATGCTCTTCTTTTTTAAAACAAGAGAAGTTTGAGACATCATTTAAAACAAGATATCGCCCCAACCTTCCCTTTCAATGGATCACAGGACATTAATAAGGGGTTTCTGAGAGCCCCCTCTACCATATCAGTGGTATGTAACAAATACGGATAACCCAGACCTGGCATTCATATAAATACCAAAAAGTGTGGGCCTGAACTATTTGTGAGTTTCCCTTTAATGAGAGTGACAGAATGTTATCAATTACAATTACACTAAAATCCTTATAACCCTAACAGAAATGAGTTATTCTGGTAGGCTGATCTGCTAATTGTAATCAAACAACCTAGCTTGTTAAATAGCCTTCTCACAGTCCTGATATACTCTGTGCCTTAGAACACAACATACATATATTAAAAACACAGTCTAAATTCATTGCTGTATGATCTGATAGTCAAGTCAATAGAACAGAGAGCTCCTTATAGTGTGTGTTGCCAAAATTGGAAGAGGTGAGGATGGGAGGGGTTCACATATTTTTGTTTTGCTTTTATTCCCAGCTGCCATACCATTGTACTGTTTAAAGATTGTGCCAACTATTGGGGGTTTAAAGGTTCCCCTGTAATTACATCAGGCAAAGAGAGGGCAGGGATGATTCAACACCAATACTCAACTGTTATCGAAAATCCTTCTTTATTCATTCAAGGCCTGACCCCAAGATTGAGGGCGTTCAGCACCTTGCGGGATTAGCCCTTGTCAGAACCAACGTGCAGTGGTGCTCACATACAATGAAATGTTTTAAATATGCAATGAGGTTTTTAAAATATACTATTGGATATACTGCATAAAACCAGAATAGTGACTTTTAAAAATTAATTTAGGTAAAGACACTCATCATTCTCATTTATGGTACTAGTACTAAGATAATTTAGTAGTTTGGCTTTTTAAAAAATTACAATTACATTCTAATAGAATATATCTCCTCAAATATTTGGCCAACCAAAAGGAGGCCCTACCTTCAACTCAATGGCATTTCCCCTTCTGTAGTGCTATAACTTTTGTTTATCACCAAAACCACCACTTGGTCACTCTGGTTATGGTGATGAGACAGAGACCTCAGAGTTGGGTTTAGTGTGAGGCTTATATTAGAGAGTAGGGCACCAGAGATCTTCCTCTGCCTGCAGCACCAAGTGGGCACTCTGTGGGCCAGATTTTAATGGAAATCTGCTGCCCAGCTGGGCCCTCCCTACACCACTCTGGCCAATTACTACCATGCAGACCCCTCATCCCAACACTAGCAACACGCTCCCCCAGCTGGGTCCCTTGTCCCCAATCCATCCGACACCCTAATTAGAGTCCTCACCCCACCCCACACCCAGATTGATGTTGGTGAAAATGGGAAAACTGGAGCCTGCTTTTTTGACTTTCACCAAAATCATAGAGTTCTGACCATGGGCAGGAGTCAGGGAGGAGGCCAAGGGGCTCAGCTAGGTGTATAGCTCAGTCTATATAAACAAAGTACTAGACCCTCTATATACATAAGAAATGTATGTGCCATCTACAAAATTCTTCTGATTTTGTATCGATCTATATATTAAAAAAGCATAAAATATATTGGATTTAATCCTTAATGCCTGCACACCCAAACCTCCCATTGGAGTCAATGGGACTACAGGAATGCAAGCAATTCACTCCTGGTGTAAATACTTTGATTTACATGGAGTTACACCAAGCACAAATTTGCCTCCATGTTTCCCTCTTCTTACTGAAACTACTTTGGTTGGCTTTGTAGCACTTTATTTATTTAGAAGTATGTTATTTCAGGTTTGCTTGTTGTTAATTTTACATTTTTAACTCTTCAGACAGTTGTGTCTTCTGTGGAAAGGCAGACAGTACTTTATAAATAAAATCCCTTTAATAAAACCTGGCTTATATTTTGTGATAGATTATGGCAGATTTAATTACACTTTTTAAAAGTATCTTATTATTTACCTTAGTAACCTGATAGTTCAAGCATTTCTAGAAAGCTGTGGCAGAGACATGATGACCACGGGGGAGGTATGAATACACAGGAGATTCCCCCAGCTGTTAGAAAGGGGGTGGGGGGGAAGAGACTGATGGCACGGGACCCAGCAATGCACTTAGGAGTCTGAAGAGAGACTCCACGCTTGTTATTGTTTCGGGATCTGAAACTTGTTCCAATTCTTTAGCCTGCTGCTGATACAAATTGGGCCAAGCAAAACGCATAAAACCTGAGCAGTTGCCAACAGCCCTTATCAAATGTCCCCTAACTTGTTCTCACGCCATTTGTCCAGACGCAAAGGGGAAGAAAAGAGGCAGGACCTGTCCCCAGAGTCTGCAGCTCGCGCTTTGTTTGTTTGGGAAACAAACATAACAGCGAGAGGGGGAAGCTGAGCGTGCAAAGCGCCTCTGCTGGCCCCTGTCAACCTGGGGTTCCTGGGGAAGCTCTTCCCAGGAGTGACCTGCGCCACCCCACAGACACGCCCTGGGCGCTGTCCCAGGAGAAGGGAAAGGGGAGAAGGGCCCGCAGCAGCGGCGGCAGGAGGAGGAGGGGGAGGGAGGAAGTGAATTACGGGGCAGGTGACACCGAGTTAGGTTCCCCATCCCCAGTGTGCTTGGCAGCTTCCTTCTCGCCTGCTGCCCACGGAGGCACGGCTGTGAAGGAAGATATAAAGGAGACAGGGACTCTATAAATACCCAGCGCGAGAGCGCGCGCCCCAGAGCCTTACGAGCCCCGGCGAGGGACGGACAGCCACCGGCGCAGCGCTCAGCTTAGCAAGCAGCGACCATGCACGTGAATGGCAAGGTGGCTCTGGTGACTGGCGCGGCGCAGGGCATAGGCAGAGCCTTTGTCCAGGCACTGCTGGAGGAGGGCGCGAAGGTAAGCGCGTGTGTCCCTGGCGCAGCACCCGGGGGCTGCATGCGGGGCGCCGGGGGACACCCCGCCATCCCTGAGCCACTCTCACCTTCTTAGGGGGTCGCTTCCACAGAAGCTGCTGCTGCCTTCTAAGAAGCCAAGAGCCCCTCCCTCAGTTTCCTTGCACGCTGTAGTTACCTGCTGCTCTCCCGGCTTCGGGCCCCTTCCCGGGCAAGTTTTCCTTCCCGCGGAGCGTGCAGCTGGGGTGTGCAGGTTGGAGCAAGAGGGGCCTTAGACACGTCTCTTCCTCGGCTGGGAGAGGGCTGTATGGTATGTTCCTCTAACTTTTCCTTGCCTGTGTTCATTCCTCTCACGTGCATCACCCCCGCCCTCCTCCTGGCACAGGTGGCTCTTGTGGATCGGAACCTCGAAGCCGGTGAGGAGAGCAAAGCTGCCCTGGATGAGCAGTTTGAAGCTCAGAGGACTCTTTTCATTCAGTGCGATGTTACAGATCAGGAGCAACTGCAAGGTAAGGAAGGGGATCTGTCAGCATTCTATACTATCATAACATGCAGCAACCTGAATAAACCTGGGCTACTGAACCTATAACTGTGCAATTAAGGTTTCTGGAGGGCAGCCTATTTCTGATCCCTTACAAGCGTGACTCAAGTAGGATCTGTTTCTCACTCTGCAAATGTGAAATACTACTACCAGTGTGTGCCTTTGGCTTTAGGACTTGGCACATAGTAAAGAAAGGATAAAGAAGTCACTGAGTGTTTTGTGATACTTTTGTATGAAAGCCTCTACATAAGATATGGGTTATTTAATGAGTAATGTATTAAAAAACTTTAAAGTACAGTGTTTAATAAAGTAGAGTATTTACTTAATAAAGTATTTAAAGTGTTTAATAAAGCTTCATGGCAGACTCAAAAATGCATCTTTCTTCTCAACATGAAAGTGATAAGTTTCTGCTCTGAGTGATCTGCAATAGATACTTTGCAGTACAATGGAACTAGTCTGAATTTAGGTTGCTATTGTTCAGATCAGAATCTGGCCTTAAATGCTGAGGATAAAGAATACAGCTTTTTAAATTTTAACTTAAACCATTGCAGATAAAAAGCAGTCAACTCCTGTGATTTTGTGCATGTCCTCATTCAAGAATAAACCTCTCTACTGAGCTCTGGATAATATTTACTTTTTATGCAGCATTTCACAACAGATCTCACAAACGTTTCATAACAACATCCCATGACTGTTTGCACAGATTCATTCAGAGGTAGTGAGTTAGGTTAAAAAAAAAAACTTGGGTCACTTATGTGAATGCTCTTTCCATGGAAAAAGATGTCAGACTTGATATAAACACATAGTTTCTGTCTTCTGCCTCATAAATTCTATCGACTGCACCTTTATCACATGATATTCTTCACAGAAGCAATGTGTGATTATTTTAATTCTTTCTTCATAAAACTTCAGCCATTTGCAGCTTGTCCAGAATGCATCAATCTGATTGTTCACTTGTATAAGCGACCATAGCTACACTGTGCCTATCCCCAACTTTTTTATACTGGTTGTCTATGAAGTAGATCAATTAATTTAAATTGGCTCTGTTAGTTTTAAATTCCTTAGCGGCTACCTACTCTGTAAGCTTTTTTACTGACAGTGGTCCTCATACTACAATTTGTTCAGTGTGGGCAAATCCTTGTGTCACTTCACCGGAGTTCTGTATGGACATGTGACTGCCCCATGAAACAGGTTGCAGGATGAGGAACACAGTCTGCAGCCACACTGTGCACACTGTTCAGGGTCCCAGTATCACATCTGCAATCAGGTCATGGTCATGCTTTTTGCTGTGCATGGCCCAACAGTGTGGACCACTCTCTGCACAGTCATCTGTTTTATTTTGTCCCAACCTACTTTTGAAAAAATCACCTTAAAACCATTTTTCTCCGCAAAGCAGTTTTAGAATGATCAGCCTTGATCCATATTTATACACACCTTCCACTCCTTTTCATATCCCCTTTTTTTAAGTTGGATCCTCTCATTAATTTTAATGTGCTTATGTTTTCAGAGGGTGGTATTTTATATTCTGTACAGTGCCAAGAACGTGGGCCAGATGGATGTATATGCAAAATAAATACAATAATTATAAATTACTAATTTTTGTTTCAAATGGACATGTAACAAGGCAGGCCTTCTCCCCACAACAGATCTCACAAACGTTTCATAACAACATCCCATGACTGTTTGCACAGATTCATTCAGAGGTAGTGAGTTAGGTTAAAAAAAAAAACTTGGGTCACTTATGTGAATGCTCTTTCCATGTCCTCTCTCAAAGACATAGTCTCTCTTCAGCAGTTTTATTGTCCAAAAAACCAAAAACAGTTCTTCAGCTCACCCTGGCTTTTACTAACAGGATACTTTTCCCCTTTACCTCTCAGGCTCTCACAGCCTCCTCTCCCAGGTGTGTCTGTCAATTTTGCTGTTCCTGCTCATGTGTCCTGTTCCCCCTGAGCACAGCCACCCAGGGCTTTTCTCCCTGGAGGCCCTTTTTCTAAACAGTTCCTTTCAGGTTCTCCCTGTCTCCCGTTAGGGGACTCTACCAGCCCTAATTCACCAGGTCTCTTCCTTTCCCAGGCCCAGGTACCCTCTTTTAAAGCCTAATCTGGATCATCTGACCCGGCACAAGGTGCGCTGACCCTGCTCCCTCTTAAAAGGCTAGTGCCACCCTGTGACTGCACCCTAAACAGCTGTGATCACTGTGGCCTGACAAACCTGTTGCCAGCAATAGACTATATAAACTTATCAACATTTTTTTCAACACATCAATATGAACAGTTGAAAAGAATTTGGCTCTTTTCCTAGTGTGGTGAAGATGATTTGTATAGTTATAGATACACAAATCATTAAGAATAAGCCAAAAGTTTTTTGTTTTTGTTATTTTAAGACAGAAGACTTCAAACGCTATGTGTCAAGGACAGCGTTATTGAAGAGCTTCTGTAGAGCGCAGGATGAAAAACAAGTGAAGCATAAAGTCAAATTCTGAAATTGAGATCAAATTAAGGGCCTGATCCTGCATCCCCAAAACTGCATTGATTCCCTGAGTAACCAGTTCTGCTACCACTGAAGTCAAAGAATTTCAGTTAACTTTGATAGTGCAGGATTGGGTCTGTTAGGTTCAGAGACTGAAGAACAAAATAGGCAATAAACTTAACACAAAACAGAAAAGCATGAAACTGAAAATAGAGGCCTTAAAATATCAAAGCATTATAGTGGAGGATAATATCATCACTAACTCTGAAAGGTAAGGGAGGTTAGATGAATGCAATCTTTGCTTTTAGCTGTTTTAACAGATACAATGCTCTTGTGTTTAAAAACAACTATTATGCCATATTCTGACCCCTTCTAAAATTGCCATGCAGTGTTCTGGCAGCCTTAGCTGAATACCTCATGATTCCCCAAACTAGGGGAATCCTGAGTGACACAAACCTGATGCTGTTGGCATTATACCCATTCTAGTGTAAGGGTGTGGCCAGAGAAAAGGAGGTATGGCAAAAGTTCTCTTGTGATTTTGAGTATTTCTGTCAGCCACAATGGCCTGGTGTCAAGAATATCTTTCAGGGAATCTGATGTGGTCTGGGTTTTCATTTCATCAAATTATTTTTATTACAACAATATTTTCATTCAATATATTTTTGCTATGTAGTATTTGTTTGATGTTTGCTACAGACAAACAATTCAATGGAACAAGTGTTCAATATGATGAACAATTCCTGGAGGAGAGAAAAAGTAAAATGCGCAGAGACACTACTCAAAACTGTTCTTTTGTTCAAAGAAAATGTTAATGACACTTTTTCAGTGTTTTATGATAAAGCCCTTAAGAACACTAAATTGCTGGGAAATATGCACACATTGCTGTTGAGTCAGATTCTGACAGTACAGACATCTGTGCACTTTCTTTTTTAAATGTATTTTTCTCTGAGTATTTTGCAACCCTGAAAAAACAGGCACCACAAAAGTGTTGTAAGCTTTTTATTCTGAAATAATTGCCCCCTTTAGGGACCCACAAAAGGTGTCTATAAGCCACTTTTGGAATTCCCTACCTACATAGGTTGTGCTGAACATAGAGGTCCTGAGGATCTGGCCCAATAATTTTAATTCTGACTGATGTATAGAAACTCTGTGGAGGCAATTTGTCAACAATAGAAGGAATGAGATTGAATCTGAGAGGTTATGAGTCAGTAACTTTATATATAGGGTGCACATCAATTACTCCTAGATAGGTACAATTCATCAAGGAATATGGTGAATTATTGATAGTTTTTAAAGATTTACAATATTTATTAATTACATCGAGTAAGGATATACTCATTCTTAAAATAATTTGAATTCAAACTCAATCATGAGTTTTTCAGACTGTAAAGTTTTTCTTTAAAATAAAATATACATAGAGGGAATCAGATCCTGAATTCCTTGAATACCCAAACTAATGCAAGATCAAGCAATAAAGACTTGATTTCAGAAGGTGCGGAGTGAAAAGGTCTACTATTCTAGTTCTATTAACAATCTTAAATAGAGTTACTGTTAATACTTGTTGAATAGTTAGACAAGTGTTGTATTTGTTAAACATTAACAAAGTATGTGTTTAACATTAACTGTTTAAAAAAATGATGAATTAACATACTTTGGTAGGGTAACAAATATCGTGCCTTGTGTTCCATTTGTAACATTTAAAATATATGGAAAACAAGACAGCTAAGGAATTTTCTCCCTTGGATTTTACTGTAGGTGCTTTTAAAAAAACAATTGAACGTTTTGGAAGGCTGGATGTTGTGGTTAATAATGCTGGAGTGAATAATGAAAAGGACTGGGAAAGCACTATACAAATTAATTTGGTAAGCATTATCTGTTTTAAAATGTTCATACTGTATTCCCTAAAGCTGAGATTTTCAAAGAGGCCTAAGGGAGTTAGGCACTCAACTCTAATTTAATTTTCCTCTTTGAAAATCCCAGCCTATAATGCTGATTACACCTAAGGTAAAGTTTAAGAAGAAATTATGTGTTGTGGATTTGTGAGAGACTGTTTTTGGTTCATTGTTTTTTGTTTACACTCAACATGTATGTCCTCCTGGAGAACATCTAAAGAAACAAATTTACCATTTGAAAAGTGTGTTTCAAAAACAGTGTTTAAATCATGTTTAGATGCACCAGTGCTCTACAGTTAAGTCTCTTTCATGGACCATCATGCTTCTTCACATTAAAAGTCCTATATTGCCTGCAACACATGTACGCGCATACATATACACCCTACCTTCCAGTGACATGAGTGCCATTCATGGTCAGTGTATGGCATGGCCCTACGTATACATACATGAGAGTCACTATAGATAATTATACTAGCACATAAGCAAGTACTGTAATTGTAATACTGATCTCAAATACTGATATATCTTAACAGTTAAGAATAAAATGAATCAATAATGCTATGACAATCATTAATTGTCCTGTAGCTGTACATTATTAATGTTAATGATGGCTAAATATTTACTGGTTATATAGAGTTATGGACTTTAGTTCCTTTTCTTTTCTCTACTTTTTCCTTGTTGTACATGCAGAGAAATAGTCTTCCCTTAAGACCCACACACCAGACCTTAAATCTAGTTTTTTGCTATTTGTACATACACATTTCCCACTGATTGTTCCACATATAGATGGAAAGCAGACTGCTGGAACTGGTAATCAGTCATACAACTCTGAAAAAAGAATAAATTAAAATATTATTGGTAATAACCATGTTTTATAGTAATAGTGTTGTTAAATTATTTTTATCCAAGTATATTACATTACGCTACTAGATTCTAGTGACTATCATAATGGCATGCAAGGCCTAATCCCACAGACTATATGGTACCTGCAGCATACTGAACTATGAAAAGAGTGAAAAGTCATGGCTGCTGTTGCTGGTAGACAAGCCTATCCAAGGTAGCAGTTGTCTTGTAGCAGAGAGAAATAAATATATACAAATAAGCTCTGTAGAAGTAAGTTTCTCATGGAATGGAATGGAAAGTTCATGAGCTCTCCGCCTCTCATACTTCACAACTCATTTCTCACATTCTTCACTCCAGTTGAATCTTTGCAGCTTGTAAACCTGGCTACAAATATAGATATGGAGATATATAGAATAATAACATTCCTGACGGATGGGGATCTTTGATCCCTGAAAAGCCATTATTTCAGGCTGAAAGCAACCACAACAAAAGTAATATTGGTCTACATTACCAACAAACCACTAATGTCATTAATTGTTTATTCTTTGTCTCTCTATATTAGATGTGTGAGAAAAATGTGTTATGGAGAGTGGATCTGTTTAAACCCTCCTAATGTTAATCAGTCAGAAGGTAACCTGGAATAAAAAGATAGTTTGAAATAGTAGTAAGCCTCTGAAAATTCCAAAGTGAACAAACATGAAAATAGGAATGTTGTGCATAAAAGTTGGAGAATGAATCACTTATAAACAAGATCAACATAAAATAACTTATTGGCCCATATTTAAAACTAGAATATACACAATAGACCTACTTTAGTCTCAGTCTTCACTGGAGTCCATTTCTATGCAAATGATTAAGACACATCAACTGTTATTGAGGCTCAGCTGGCATACATATGAGAAATAAGTTGCCCGCTATTAAAAGATTTGTTTAATCTAAGGCTACATATTTCATTTTCTAAAGGCATATATATATGCTCCAAGTTCTTTACATATGAAATATTTTCACCATTACCCATGAGTTGGAGCACATTCTTTCAGCTCAAGAGCAGCTGTCCAGCTGAAACCCTGTAAATTCAGTGACTTTGCAAAAGAGGTCTTTCACACATGCATTCCTGGCTTCTCACATGACATGATGTCACAACTTGTTTGTTAATACATGACTACCATTCCAATGCCATCCCAACTTCCCATTGCCAAAGAATGTTGTAAGTGGGGGTTCACTTCTTGGAGGTTCACTTCTCAGTCACCATTTCTGGGTGGTTCTGTTTTCAAGCCACATAGGGTGGAGATCTGAACACCAAAAGAGCTGTCAGTCAGGAAGGACTTACTTTATGGCCTGACCTTTCAAATTCTGACTATCATTCCATTATTCAGGAAAGACCTGCTTCCATGTTAGGATTCAGTGTGCCTCTGTACATCACTCCCATGAACCCTAATGCCAAACATAGTAATTTGCACCTGCAAACAGGGCAGCAACAGGAAGTTTGGAAAAGGGGTTAATATAGAGTTTGCATGAGATTACAGCCATGAAAGATATTTTTATGTCAGTCTTCCAATGAAGGATAAATATGCAAAAAATAATTTCAATCATCATTTCTTAGGATAATGACTTTTTATACATGAGGATGTTTTAAATTAGATCAAAACACATTCAGTATGAAACAAAATTACATGGACACTCTGTTGGAATTTGGCAATTCACTAATAGAGCAAGATATGAGATCTAAAAGTACAGGGCTAGGTTATAGATTTTACAGCCAGAGGTGCACTGGAAAGGGTGAAGAGTGGCCATGCTAAAGCAGAAGTCTCAGAAGGATTGCTAGCTGGAAATATCTTCTGGGAGCCTGAGGGAGTGCATGCTGCTGGGCAGCTCTAGTGGCTAGTATAGGTGGAGAGCAAGGTCAGTGCCCAACCTCACCACCTCCTTTCTTGTCTCATTTCATATGGTTAGTGTTGACATTGGGACTCTTCAATGGATTGTATCTAACTCCTATATAGGGGAACTAGAGGTTGATGGGGGAGACTCCTTGAGCCCTCTTTACTGATATGTTAATATCAAAAACAGATTCATCCACAGTCATTTTGGTAGAAGTGGCAGCAGAAGTTATTTTGCATAATTTGAGTATGCTGATTCTGAAACAAATTTGCTGAAGCTACCTTTTAAATCATTGTGTCTCCAAAAGAGAAAACAAAAAAGTATTCAAAATGAAGTATTTCTACAGTTAGTCTTCTAGGCCCAGATTCACAAAGGGACTTAGATGTTACAACACCTGCCTTTTAGGCACCTAGTCCCTCTCCCCACCCCACCCTGTCCACACTGGAATCTACAAAGCCTGAGTTAAGCTACTAGGCTCCCTATACAATACATGGGGAGAGAAAAGTGCCTAAGAATGGGATCCAC